ATCGCCGGTGTAGAGGGCGGAGGAGGACACGCCGAGGATAGATCATTTTCGGACGGAGGAGAAGAGCGAAGTGTTATGTTTGGAGTGATGTTGGGGGCCGTGTCAGTGGCGTTCGGGGCAGCAGGGATTGATGTATCGTCAGAAGTAGAGCATGGCGGCAGAATGCCACCACCACACAGCGTCGAGTCACTCTCCACTGATGAAACCTTCACAAATGTGCATACACACACATACACATGCACAGAAACAATGGCACATGCAATGTTAGAGGCATTCACAAGTTATGATGTGAACGATGCGGCCGATAGGCTCGTTACCATTATTTTGGATGAGTAGCCCCCCACATGAAAATGGTGCGATTTTGTTAAGTATGACGATCTGATATGATCTGCAGGTAAGCGATTGATCCAACTCCGCATGGGAATACAATCTTATCCGGAGATTTACCAATCATGCCAACGACAATTTCACCCTATTATACGCTTTGTCGAGCATGCCAATGGGTGTAATGAGGGCGCAAAGCAGCTCATGCCCAGTGTTATGGATGAAGTAGCGACTCCTCAACAAAGGTACCACTTTGAATACAGGTCTTGATGATACGCAAGGGGACACATTAGAGAGGGGAGTCAGTGCTACTAATAGACAGAAATGCATGCGATCAATGGGAAACAGTGACAGAAGCTCTGGCTGAACGCGACATCAAGTGTTGAGACAGGCTGAGATGTACAGACTTACCGCTCGACGCAATTTCCCACTTCAGGCTTCTGATACCGGTCTCACCTAAAACAGCACACATATCCCATTCGCACTGCTTACAAATTGCATGCATCGCATCCAGAGGATGGATGCAACCATACAATCGTGCGAGTTACCGGTTATTCACAGCACTCGATGTAAACGCATGGAACCAGTTAATGCGATGTGAGAGTGAGGTTATTTGAGAGTGGATAAATGTCAAGCGTGCACTCATAAGGATGAGGACTAAATCATGAAAAACCGCAAAGGAGGCAGTGAAGAAAGTGTAATGAGCATTAGCAATCGGCATACAGTGAATTTTGGAGGAACTTTTTTGCAAGCACTAGGGCCTGACGAGGCAGTCTGCGATGGCACTCCCGGAGCAGGAATTGTATGCTGAGGAGGAGGTGGTGGTATCGGAGAGTGAGGAGCCTCCATTGGGTTCGGTTGAGCCACACCCGAATCCAGCGATACCACCTGTATATGAGTCAAATGTAAATGGAATTATCATCAATAATTGGTAAGAATTATCCCATTAGCAATGTCAGGAGTTAGTTAGGCTGCGTAAAAAATGAAAATGAGGTTGCTTAATGAGCGGATACAAAATTGGGGAAAGCGCGTTAAAAGTAATGGACTTTATTTACCGTGAACCTGTTGCCGACAACGGTGGTGACTTGTAATGAGGGAGACGGCAGTGGAGGTGGAGGTGGCGCTGGACCTGTCGACGAAGATGTGGAGGTGATACTTTCTCTTGGTGTTTGAATTGATGGTGCTGACGCTGCCGGTGTTACCACGAACTTAGAGACTGTAGATGTCATTGGCAAAGGTGGTCTAATTGGTGGTACTGAGGAGGGAATGATCGTTGCGGCTGTTGATGGCTGCACTTGAGGAATCTTGCGAGTAGGAAAACAAACGCTTTAGAGTTGATTCGCCAAGCATAATTATAACAAACTTGTCTGACAGTAAAAAGTAGCCTGTAAAGAGATTTGGTATGCGGCGTTACAATTAGGCTTAGATAAATTATCTTGGAAGAACTAACCGATGCCAACGAAATAGAAGGCATTTTGGTAACAGCTAGCTGTGTCACAGGGGTCATACACGCCTCACTATTATTGCACGGTGGAGGAGCAGCGACAGGGACCGGGTGTTGCTGCTGGTGAAACAGTTGTGATTGACCACTGGTGATTCCCATTACTGGCTGAGCCAGTGCCATGGCTGGCTGAGGCAACCTGACTGACTGGAACTAAACACACCAACAAACAGTGTTAGATGGGCTATTACCTCCCTAAATTAAAAAGTATGCATACTAGTGTAGTGGGCGTAGTGGGCAAAATTGGCTGCCCATGAGCTATATTAAAATCGAACACTTCGGCGGAGGAAACGAGTCCTGGGTGCGCAGCGGAGCTCATGATAGCAGTGGGTACAGTTGACATTGCTGGAATCGTTGTAGCACAAGGAGGTGGCATCGGTTGCTGTTGTTGTTGCTGCTGCTGATGATGATGCGCACTTTCCAGTGCAGTACGCAGAAGAATCTGTTTCAGTGCGTCTGTATTCGAAAGGGAGGCGGTAGAAGGTGGGAATGAATTCGGAGACGCGCAGGTTGGGTTGCTCCATGGTGATTCCACTGGTGGAGTTTGGAGATTTGACAGACCAGCTGGGATTGACTGAGGCGCTGTGGAATTGTTCGCGCTCAATGCAGCCGCAGTGGAAAGAAACAGCGACGGATTCGTAGATAAAAGTGTTGCCAACTAGAATAAAACAGTAGATTACTTTTACTTGTATGTACATGAAAAGTGAACAATCGCCAATATTCACTAGGCGGGGAAAAAACATTTTATAAACAAATACAACATTTGGTACACTCAACAAGACCTACATATTCTAGGTTGGGTTGGGTCTGTTGTGCTACCTGATCTGGCCTTAGCCCAGGGGCAGCCAGTGCCGAAGTCAGAAACAGTTGCTGAGACTGTCGAGAGTTCTGTACTGATGGTCTATTGAGCAGGTACTCTAGTGCAGAGACAGGAGGTGCATGAGTTGCTGACCCAGTAACAGATGAATCACCATAGGTAATTGATGACGAACTGCCTGATGCTACTCCCATCGGTATCTGATGTGTTAATGATAATGATGGAGGTCTGAATCCCATCTGCCGCGTGAATGTAGAGGGTGCCGGCACGGGAGGTACTTGCATTGGCGCTCCAGTGGAGTTCATTGGTACTGCTCCATATGGCAGACTGTAGTAATTTGCGTCCTGCTGTCTAACTTGTGATGTAGCGTCTGTGACGGAATGCTCCCTCGGAATAGAGGCCGAAGTCGACGTACTCGCCATGCCTTCTCGAAGATTGATCAGAAGGGTAAGAATGTCATCAAGTTGCACTGATGACCCGTCAGCACTTAACAGAGGCAACTCCAACAGAGGGCGTTGAGAATTTCCAGGCACAATAATTAATGGACGCTGGGCATAGTGCATTTCTCCATCAGGCGTCACTACGATGAATCCGTTGTAGGGTGCACGGATAACCCTCCCTTGTGAAGCAGAAGCAGACTTATTCTGAACTTCCAGAAGAGAAGAGGAGGCAGGAATGGGCATAACACTGAATCCACCACCAATTCCATTCCTTGAACAGAGAAAGGAGCAATTTTCTGACAGAACAGACATGTAACCTGTTGTGTTGGCGTCACTCGGTACGACGAGGAGTGGATCATTGCGGCGACAGGTGCACAGGTGATGCGCGAATTGGGCAACCAATGACTGAGCATGAGCAGGCACCTTCAATGTAGTAAAGATATCGGGTTCCTTAGTTGGTGGGCCCATAGAATGGGCATAAGCAGCACCGCTATAAATCGGGAGAGACTCGGTGCTATCATATGGATTTCCAGGCTCCAATGCGTAGAAATGTGAAGAATCAGCGTTTACAGGGAACGAAGAGATTGATTTCGAAGGATAGGCATTTTCAACTTGACCTATGGTAAAAATTGGAGGCACCTCTTCCAGGCCAGAATGAGCTGTATTGGAAGAGACAGAGGCTACCTGGTTGATGTAGGGAGAGTTGGTAGATGAAAAAGCACAATCTGGGGTCGCCCGCATGCCCATTATTCCAGTGAGACCGGGCTGTAGGTTCCTTTCAATTGGCGATCCAGCAGACGAAATTGTGTCACTTAAATCTCCATCATGCGGTGATCCTTAAAGGAAAGGATGATAGCCAGATTTTCCCAATGGAAATACAAAAAGTGGGTGGTGAGTACGCGATTCAATATGTGCACCATTAGGAAGATGAGGCCATTAACTTTATTCCAGCTGGCAGTGTAGACAAATGCCCAGTAATGCGCGAAGCACAGTTAATAAATACAACCTAAGGCGTTAAGGAAATCTTACAGCGGAAGTTGAGTCTGACAAAGCAACGAACAGGCAAAACACTTTTCCCATCATTCAAGATGCATGATCAAGCTGTGGACTAAAAGTTTATCCAGAAAACGATGAACTATTACTGCTTAATTGCGGATTAGCGAATTCAATGAGTGCATACTGAATGCACACATGGCAGCGAAGCTGTCTTACAAAGTGTGGAGAGAGTGGGATCAAGAGAGGAGTTAGTTGTAAAAAACTAACTACAATAAAAGTGGTAATACCGAATGCAGCGGCTGGATCGGCGGCGGCAGGTTGCACGGAAAGTGGTCGTCCGACCCCCTCATGTGTCGTCTCCGTCGCAGGTGGTGCAGTGCATCCGGAAATGTTTTTCAATTCAGGAGAGAGTTGTGGGTAAAAGACGTAGTCGTGATTTAGAGGGATAGAATTCTCATCCGCCTGTAGAGCCCGCAGCATCACTGCCACCGCCTCCTTTATCGCTCGGTCCACCTCCCCATTTGTCTGCGTGTAGCCGCAGCCCTCAAACTAAACAAGATAGACGGAGTAGTAATGGCTTCGTACGCTACTGAACACACGGAAAGTTAGAGAACAAGATAAACCTTAAATGGGAGATGTTATATTCAATACCCAAGCTGAAAAGAATACTAGTAGCTGTTGAAATATTGAAACTTTTAAAAGTGTTTGATAATTGGAACATTCGGTTTCGGACATGGAATTTTTGAACAAATGCATTAAGTGACATAATTAGCAGACAATATGGATTTAAATTAGGAGATTTTAGCCCCCTAACATACTACACGTGAGTGGATAAAAGGCATTTTCGGGACCTCAAGCATGATTAAAATAAGAAAATACTCGATGAAAGTTGGCTTAATTTGCAAAAAAAAGCAAAAAAATCGGCAATGCACGATATCAACAAAGCAGTTAGTGGAAACTTTTAAGAACCTGCTCCAGCTCACCAGCTTGATGTCATCAGTGGTGTCAGAGAGGTTACAGCGGAAGCTAAGTTTCCACAGCTCACTATTAGGATTGTTAACATCGGGCATTTCGAGGTAAAAAGTCGGCCGCAGAGTGCCTGGTATATCGCATCCCTCCGATTCGCGTTCCAACCGAGTTATTCGGATTATGTAGCGTAGTGGTTGTTGGCCCATAACTGGCTTTGTTTGGCTCATCTTCCTCTTTGGCTTAGCGCCAACCGGTGGTGCCACACGCTGTTGCTCTGTGGCCTGAAGAATGAAATGACAAAGGTGCCAGCACTGATCGAAGCGGTTGGCGTAGCGGTAAGATTAGCTATGTGAGACATCTGCGTCCAGTCATCATGATAATCGGCCATACGTGTAAGATTAGAGACATTTTTTGACAAAGAAAGGCATAACTTAATGTAATCACGTAAAGAAGACATTATCCGGAATAGAATGAGCACCATCAGCAACCTCATTCAGACATATAACAGAGAGGTAATGAACAATGCAAATCAATAACACAGAAGCGCTGCCAACACGACCTATGAAAAGACAACTGGAATCCCGAAGAATAAATCAAGTAACGATATAAACCAAATCAAGGGTGACGTAAATCAGATTAGCCGCATATGGTCAGTCGAGTGTAGTGAAAATACAAGTAACTGACATCACATGCTTTAAAAATAAGTTCTTCATCAGTATGAAAGCTGATTAAGGGTAGACTGATGCAGCGAGGGTGTTAGAGAGAGGTTGTGCATAAATGAGAGCAAATCATGGTTTCATTGCACCATGATAAATTTTTCAACATCTAAAGTGGATATGTCATAATCTTGAATTTTACTAGGTCTATTTTTATTGAAAACTTCAGAGCTAGCAATTCGAGTGCTTTATTTCGAGTAACATGAAGTGTTACTCGTATTTGTTAGTAGGCATCAATCAGGGCAAGCAACGTTCCCGCAACGCGTGTTAAAATCAAGGCCGCTTGTGGTTGAGATCCCAAGTAGACCTAGTGATGAATGCTAGGGGACTCAAGGATTATTAATAGTAAAAAAACGAAATAAATGGTCCCAATGAGAAAAGATGAAATATGATCATCTCTGTCGACTACGCAAAACATCGAAATTAAAGTCGAAATGAAGTCAACACAATCAGAAAAAAGCAACAAGTATGAATAGCAAAAATTTAAGAACGAAATACCCTGCAATTACAGAGGGAGCACAATCAGATATTGGAGAAGTGTTAATTTAAGTGACTCAAGCAAAACGGATTGAGTAGTGGAAGGCGTCTTAAAGAAGGAAAAGGCAATGACAATGAAACCAATGTGTTCATACAGTCCATTAAAAAGTTGCAAGCGATAACGATTGATAATGGTTTGCCTCTAGGTGAAGAAAGGGCGTAGAATCGACAGAGAGCGCATCGTCGAGGTGTGCGTGTGCTGTACCAAATGGCGTGAGTCAAACGTGGCCTACAAATGTAGCGGATCGGGGACACTGGCAACCTGCATGCCAACTGGAGTAGTTCCAGACGGAGGGATGGTGGACAGCACTAGCTCCTTGGAGTAAGAGAGACCTTCGTGACGTGGTAGTGTGACACGTAGTGCGTAGGAGACGCGGCGAATTGAACATGGCACGGGGGTGGTGCATGCGATCCTGCATTTGGCGTCTGCGATGGAGGGCCTCGGGCAAGAAGGGCGTGCGGTGCAATCGGGGTGCGAAACGATGCAGGTTACCCTCGCTCATCGGTCTGGACCGCATTGTCTACTTGACACACAGCGCAAGTGCATATACACACACAGGTGCCCACATGGCGGCCGGAGAAGGAAGGAAGAAAAACCAAAGACGGACTCACTCGAGATAGCGGCGCAAGAGGTGAGAAAATATACACAAGTTGGCCTCAATTATGAGTCGTTAACTGTTGGAATGGTAAACGGTGGAAATGCTGGGGTTCAAGAGGAAAAATCTTGAATGCAAAGGTGAGATTACAAAAACAGTGTTTTCTGTGAAAAGATAAGGTTTTAGACAGGGTGAAGGCGGGAAAAACGAAAAAGAGTGTAACGTATTTGCCATCAAACGTTATCTGTACCCAAAAACAACACATTCCATTAAATACCAGAGAGACTAGACCAAATAGTTCGGGTAGTCGAGAAAGAACAAACCCAGTAATGTTAGTGTAAGAAATTAATGGTCACGCACATGGTGAAAAATTCGCTGCCGGCATACATCGATTCTTCTAAGCACAAATAGCGTCAATCTCTATCCAAGATTGCAAGTACTGGGAGTCGAGCGCAACTTCTGGGCATTCCGAGGAAGCTAAGTGAGAAATATTCGAGGAATCAGGACCTCATCTAGACGATTAAGCATTGTGCTTTGCGTTTTCGACCTCACAATAGCGAGTCGAGTCTCGGGAAGAGACACCTGGGCGTTCGCTCTTACGCTTCAACAGATATCCAAAATTAAGGCTACGATAAGTCAGGGAATGAAAAGATCCAAAATTCACGTTCAGCTTTCCTGCATTTTCTTCGAATGATGCTTTTTGAATCATGAAGCACTTCGCAATCCCTTTCTTTGTTCTTTATTATCTATGAATTTGCTAATCTAGTGCGGTCACTTTCAAACGTTTAAGCCACCCACAAACGACGCTATATCAACAGCGAGTACATACGGAGACAAATTTATGTCCCTGATACACATTAGACCTACAAAAGACACAAAACAATGTTCTCTCTCAGTGCGATTTACTTTAAACCTACCTTAATCTAAGTGACAACCACGGCTAAACAAAGAGCATAGCCGACCTGACAGAAATAAATAGCCAAACAGCGCGCTCGGACACGTTCAATTGCTGATCCGACCACCTCCATCATCTCCAAAGAAAATAAGCAATCAAATACATTGATTAAGCTTTATTATCACTTACTGCAGGTATTACTTTTCGAGAGCAATTAGGAGGTTTTCAAAATGCACTAAAAATGGGAAGGGACACCTTTAAAGTACGCACTTACCTTGGCAATGAGAATAGGAGAGCTGGCGATAGAGGTGAGTTGCCGACCGGCGGAGTGCTGTGTGGGAAGGGATGCGTAGCCGGATGTAACGCCACCGAATCCCATGGCCGGTATTATCAAAGCCTCCGGAAGACCGGAGCCAGGTCCTCCTGGTTGGCCAACAACCTATTGCGAATAACACAGAGGCCGCCTAGAAAAGTGGTCTTATTTAAGAGACTTTTCAATATAGAGTAACAGCAATAGCTAACCAGGTAGGAAGCGGTACATAGCCGAGGCATCATTCCCAGTGGTGGTGCTTAAAAAGGCTTATCACCTAAACGACTCCAAGAAGCATCGGAAATAGCGTGAAATCATAATTTGTTTAAGTCAAAAGACAAAGCTAAAACACAGCGAGAAACTACAAAAATGCTGCAATATGGCCCGAGTATAAAAATAGCGATTTAAATGAACAACCTATCAGCCTCTCGCTATCTGCAATTAGGATAAGTAGAAAAAACAGCAAGAACACCAGTTCACGGCTGAAACAAAAAGACACGTCGCATGATATCATGTTTAGTGATTAAAAACTAGACTTCTAGTTGCATAATGAATCTCGCCAATGATTACTGCAAACATTTTTACCTCTGTGTCCGAAGTTCTTTCCCTTTCATGCAGTCTTTCTTCACCTGAAATAAAAAACCTCTATTGATCACAAATAGTTTTCGTTTCAGAAGGAATGATAGCGTATTTCAAACGAGTCCACATCGGTACGAAATCGAATGCACGAATAGCAAGAACGGAGATCGGAGGAACAAAAAACTATTCTTTATGCTGTTAATTATGAGAAAGGGTTCATGATGCAAGGGTATACGATACAGCTGTATTCAAGGCTTCAGCTTTGTAGAATAGCTTTGGATGCTTGAATAAGGAAGAGAACAGAAACTATTTGAATTAGAGCAAGTGACGAACCCATCCTCTGCTGCTGCAATTGTTGAAGAGTGAAATTCGAAGGCAGAGCCATAGCTGAGCAATGAGATGTGGGTTGTTGGATCACGTAGGGGAGATCTGCCGTAGCCGATGCGGGCTGCTGCTCTACAAGACCAGGGGCAATCGAGCTTGTAACAACAGGCAGGGCAGGAAATGATGCAGCTGTTGGCGGTTGTACTACTTGAAAGATTGTTGGATGAACTCCTGCCGCTCCGAGATTCGAAGGCACCTCCTAGCAGCAGTGTGAAAAAGCAAATCATATTAACAAATGAAAATAAGAAGGATGTATAAAAAATTCCTACACGAGGTGCGTGTTGAGTACTGACTTGAGGTACCTGACCGCCAACGAGAGAAGTAATGAGGGGATTTTGGTGTTGAGACCCAGGTGGGGGATGTGGGGGTTGTGGTTGTGCTGCTACTGGCTGGACAGGCGATTCACCAGAAACTGCCTGGCCTTGAGACTGTGATGTGATTGGGGGATTCACAGGAGGGTGTGGAGGACAGGCCTGTGCAAAGGCTGTCGGAGATCCCTGCTGGATGCCCGAGTAGTCCTGAAATAAATAACCAAAATATTCAATATGGGCGGAAGTGGCAGACACTGGGAAAGACAGGTCTGGGAAGCATCATACTAAGATTTGGGCTTGTAACAAATCAGTAGTAAGAGAAGGGATCCACGTGTGATGGAATATGCGCACAAGAGTTTACTACTTTCAATAACGGTCTCTTAAGAACAGGATTGGATCTCAAAAAAAAACACTTAATCTCAAAAAAATTCATAAGCACGTTTTTTGGCAAAGGAAAATGCTCGAATACACCATTTTTGAAGATGGGAACGTATGAAAAGACGCAGTTGGCTGGTGAACAAAAACCTTTCGGGAGTGAATACGAAATATGTCACCGTTAAGTGTTGCATACTTGAGTCTAACCCAAAACAAATTCAAAGTATGAATGATCATGCTGGGAATTTGAAAAGTAAATGCAATTTAAGCGACTAAAGTCCAAATTGTTAAAATAAACAATCCCTGACAGCCATGGAATGAAAACCACGGACAGCTCGACGTATTTTGAGTATACGGTATGAGTTTTATAAAACTAGTGCGAAGAACTGACTAATGGACTAAAT